CCAAATAGATCCTTCTTGAAAGTCTCATATACCACTTCCACTTAGAGACTTAAGTTATATGGCCATATAGAGAAATGTAGTCTTTATTATAGTAAGCAGTCTGCTCAGTTAAATAACAAAGGACTTACTTAAGGATAAAGGAAGGAATAGATGTTGGGATAGACAGCATTCTCAGATAGAATCCCTTTTACCTAGCCCTCTTAGATTTGGCAGCATTTAAAAGAAAATCCTGTAATAGTAGCTTCAACAAGATCAAAATTTTTTTGTTTTTGCTTTTTCTCTTACTTAAAAGTATTCATGGGGAAGTATCTCCCAAAAACTAAAGAATGGTTGTATCAGGAATATGCTGTATTTTTGTATTTAGCTAGTAAGTGCTGAGAGGGGGTGGGATGTTTCACTTTCCTTCAGTGTTATCTTTTACAAGCAGCTTTATTTGTCGTGTTAACCTTTGTTCTTCCTCAGAGACAATGGACCTCAGATAGCCTATGTTCGGGACTTCAAAGCAAAGGTTCAGTATTTCCGGTTCTGGTGTCAGGTTAGTGTTGGAACTATATCTCTGTACTCCCTTTCCTTTGTTTTGTTGCTTATGTTACACAGTGATTGTGAAAATACTTGACTCACAGAAAAACAGATAAAACAGGAAGCATTAGAATCTCTTTCCCCTATTTTTAGAGCAAATAAATAGTTGTGTTTTTTTGTTTTTGTTTTGTTTTTGTGTTTTAGTATAGACGGGGTTTCACCATGTTGGCCAGGCTGGTCTCAAACTCCTGACCTCATGGTCTGCTTGCCTTGGCCTCTCAAAGTTCTGGGACTACAGGTGTGAGCCACTGCACCAGCACAAATAAATAAATTTATCGGTTAGATCATTTGTGACTTTGGTTGTTCAGAAAATTAAACCTCATGTAATCCCAGCACATTGGGAGGCTGAGGTGGGCAGATTACACGAGCTCAGGAGTTCAGGACTAATCTGGGCAACATAGTGAGGCCTTATCTCTATAATTTTTTTTTAAGAAGAAAATTAAACTTGAAACCCTTTGAACAAATAAAAAGAAAAAAGAAAAACCACAAACATTGGTTACTTAATAATGTGTCAAGTAAAATTTTTTTTTTTTTTGAGACTGAGTCTTGCTCTATAGCCCAGGCTGGAGTGCAGTGGCACAATCTCAGCTCACTGCAACCTCCACCTCCCAGGTTCAAGCAATTCTCCTGCCTCAGCCTCCCGAGTATCTGGGATTACAGGCACACACCACAATGCCTGACTAATTTTTGTAATTTTAGTAGAGGCGGAGTTACATCGTGTTGGCCACGATGGTCTCAATCTCTTGACCTCGTGATCTGCCAGCCTCGGTCTCTTAAAGTGCTGGGATTAGAGTCGTGATCCACCTCACCTGGCCCCATTTTCATATATTAATCTATAATTAGCATGAATACAGATCCATTGGTAAATGTTATTGAATATAAATTTATATATTCATAGTCACATTGTTTCTGTAAGCATAGATAAAAGTAAATAAAACTTTGCCCTTTTGATTTTTTGATAGGCTGATTTAATGGTGAGAGTTGACTTAAGTCATTCTTCTGTTTCAGCAACTTGCCATGCCACAGCACATAAAGATTACAGTGACAAGAAAAACATTGTTTGAGGATTCCTTTCAGCAGGTATTGTTTCATTCGCTCAATTTTTCCCCTTGCTGCTACCCTAGGACCAGCTTTTGGTGCTGGCAGTTTAATCTGAACAGTTTGGAACTTCTTCAGTTGAAGTCCTTGAAGTTTTCAAGTGTGATCTCATTGCCAGTACCCTTAGGTCTTAAGAGGATATGTGTGTGTGTTTATGTGTTTCAGGTTTCCATTTATAAACTGGTATTTGATTTGAAATAAATGCACACGTAAGATAATAGGTTTTTGGTAGCCAAAGGTCTGGAAATACCCATATGAACATTAACAGATGTGTAGAAAGGAAAGGGGAAGACTTTTTGTTTTTGCACTTCAGTATTACTTGGATTTTTATAATAAGCACAATTAAATTTGTTTTTTTTTTATACAGGAAAGAAAGTCTGGTCATTGTTGACACTATCTAAAAAAAATACGAGTTTCCCAAAGTAGTCAATGGATCTTTTCACTTGTCTTCAAAACTTAATTTACTCACCAGGCATGGTAGCTCATGCCTATAACCCTAACACTTTGGGAGACTAAGGCTGGTGGATCACCTGAGGTCGGGAGTTTGAGACCAGCCTGGCCAACATAGTGAAACCTCATCTCTATTAAAAATTTTAACATTAGCTGGGTATGCTGGCAGGTGCCTGTAATCCCAGCTACTCAGGAGAATCACCTGAACCTGGGAGGAGGAAGTTGCAGTGACCTGAGATGATGTCATTGCATTTCAGCCTGGGTGAGGAACGAAACTCCACATCAATTAAAAAAAAAAAAGACTTGAGTTACTCTATTTATTTTTATCTTGTAGATATCACTAATAACCTACTGCAACTAAATGTTAAAGTAATTGTGTTATATAGAAGATTAAAATAACTGAAAAAATCTCTTAAAATGAAAACATCTGGTTAGTCCTTGTTTTATAGCCAGATGCGAAGTGATTCTTTATTTTCAGGCACCAGTGATATTGCAGCAACTACAGCTTTAAGAAGTATGGAACTGAATGCAAAGGGAAAACAGATTGAGACAGTTGATAGTAGCTAACTGCTTGCTTTCAGAATCAGTTTCGTTCATTTCCTAATAGAACTTCAATTATTGACATTAAAGGAAAAAGCCAGTTGGCATCCTGCTATGTAGTTGCAGAAAACGTTTTAGTGGGAACTGGAGCTATATTGAGGCCATTTAGAGAATTATGAGTCATCTCCTTGATCTAAGTATCAAAGGCCATTCCCCACCCTAGTCTTTGCCCATTTCTAATTTTTATGTTCAGAACTATCCTTTTATCACTCTGTTGGATGAGTTTCTTGAAACAACTTCCTAGTACCAGTACTGGAAAGTTACAAAACATGTTAAACTGTTCCCTTATCTTTCGACTTTGAAACCTAAAGTCTTTTGTAGAATAACAGACTACATGGCGCTAAAACAGTTATTTAAAATTGTCACAAAAGTAACAAAACTAGGCCAGGCGCTGTGGCTCACGCCTGTAATCCCAGCACTTTGGGAGGCCGAGGCGGGTGGATCATGAGGTCAAGAGATCGAGACCATCCTGGTCAACATGGTGAAACCCCGTCTCTCCTAAAAATACAAAAAATTAGCTGGGCATGGTGGCGCATGCCTGTAATCCAAGCTACTCAGGAGGCTGAGGCAGGAGAATTGCCTGAACCCAGGAGGCGGAGGTTGCAGTGAGCTGAGATCGCGCCATTGCACTCCAGCCTGGGTAACGAGCGAAACTCCGTCTCAAAAAAAAAAGGTAACAAAACTAATTGCAAAATTAGCATTAGCATCAGATTTTCTTTGGATAGCTGTTGGATAAAATTGCTCTGGATAGTGTTTCTTCTGTTAACATAGCACAACTGGTTATGGGGGAAAATACAGGAGAAAACAATGTTTTTCCTTCATATTAGGCATTTGTTAAAAGGAATTATTTAAATATAGTTTTTACCTTGTAACATTTCTCATTTGGGTTGCTATATACCTAGCCTATACTATTTGTAGAATACTTGGCATAAACATATACATATATCATAAGCATAGAATTTTTTTGTTACATCTGGGACTTTCTGGCTTGAGTGGGATGTGAATTATAAATGCGATAGTTTTGTGGGGGAACTGAGAGAACCTTGGCATAAGCAAGTTATTTACTGATCCTCTCTGGATATTTATATGTGAGAATTCATCCCCCCCCAAAAAAATTCATTCTTATCACTTGATAAAGTATAGGCATTATATCAACTTCTCCCTTTCCAGGTTCTTACATATTTTTTTCCTAAGAGTAATTGATATATGCAGTGCTATACGCATACAATTTTGGTCATATAACTAGTTTTACATGGCAGGAAACCAAATGACATATTCATTGTAGCTCAGTAATGGTACTGTCCTTCAAATATGAAGATGATCCTGCATTGGAACTGAATCATATTCTGAGTGCAAAAAAAAAAAAAAAAAATTAAAATGATCGTATTAACCACCTACAGTGGGACACAAAATTTGAGTAGTTTTTCTAGGTATTTATAGGTTGCCACTGAGAATGAGTTTCCAGAGTTAACTGGGTCTCTCTACAGCCACTGGTTTAGCTGTTAGTGTACCTTTGGCTGTTAACCAAAACCAAACCTAATAACCAAACCAGAAAAACTCCACCTAACCTCTGACCATGCCCATCTGTATTGTAAGTAATTGATATAAGCAACATGGTAAGTCAATAGTAGCATCATTAAAAATAAAATCACAGCCAGGCGCGGTGGCTCATGCGTATAATCTCAGCACTTTCAGAGGCCAAGGTGGGCTGATCTTCTGAGGTCAGGAGTTCAAGACAAACTTGGCCAACATGGAGAAAACCCATCTCTACTAAAAATACAAAATTAGCTGGGTGTGGTGGTGTGTGCCTGTAGTTCTATCTACTCGGGAGGCTGAGGCAGGAGAATGGCTTGAACCCAGGAGGCGGAGGTTGCAGTGAGCTAACATCATACCATTGTACTTCAGCCTGGGGAACAAGAACGAGAACGAGACTCCATCTCAAAAATAAATAAATAAATAAAATTACATGTGTATAAAGTATATAAAAATATAGATGTGTATAATAAAAAAATTATTAAAGTTTACTATAATGTATTTTCTGTATGTGTGGTTTTGACTAGACCATGAACACCTTTCTATGTCATGGGAGATTTAAATTACCTACAATGAAGGAGATGTCAAACTTAGAAGTGGTAGACAATGTTTTAATAGCTTTTTTCACCAATTATTTTACTTTATTGTTTTTTTAGATAATGAGCTTCAGTCCCCAAGATCTGCGAAGACGTTTGTGGGTGATTTTTCCAGGAGAAGAAGGTTTAGATTATGGAGGTGTAGCAAGGTAGTGATAATATGAATACTCAGAACTTAGTTCCTTTCCTCCAAAGGTACCATTACACTTTGCTTGCAAGTATTATTTTCTCAATATTATATTTTAGGAAAATGAAATATATCAAATTATACCTTTACTACGCTGTAGCTACAGAATTTCAAAAAACATTTAATTCAGCACTTTCTGTGTCATGTGCAGGTGATTTATTTCACCCCCATCACCCATTTAATCTTCAGGGTAACCTTAGAGTGAGATAGAATTTTACAGGATAACAAAGAGGCTTAGAGACTCACCTAAGGCACATAATAAATTGTAGAGCCTGGACACGGTCTTTGTATCATCTAACCAGTAACCATTGTTCCGTCTACCACCTCTCATATCTGTTCCACAGAAAATACAAGGCCTTATAGAGATCAGGTCATTTCCCCCACCACAGATTACCGATACATGTAATAGTTACTCAGTTTGCAACTGAGATTAGTATATTTGTCATGAAAATATAGAAGGCTGTAGGAAATAGGAGTTGAAAGTCTTAATTCTGCTTTCTTCATATTGGAGCTTGGAATCAGTTCCTGGAAGATAGTCTCAAGTGAGAACTGCTTTGCTTATTCCATAATAATATATCACACCAAGTTAAAAATTTGCATAGAGATGGCATTGTGCAAAAGTAAAGGAAAAAAAAGAGATGGCATTGTGCAAAGACAAGGACTTTGGGATCAAGACTGGATTTGAATCTTTCTTCTGCTTCCAGTAGTGTGACGTTGGGCAAATATTTTCATCTGTAAGATAAGAATAATAATATCTACATTTCTAGGATTATTGTGAAGTGTAGAAATATTGTTTATTAATTACCTAGTTTAGATTCTGTGTCTTCGCATGCTCACTAACTGGGGCTGACATTATATTTTAGTAGTTCTTATTTATATTGTGTTTCATTAAATTATTTCAATTTAATGATGTAATTATAGATAAATAATAAATATGAGTAGAAACGTAATTTTGTATAAGTTAAAGGCAATTGAAGAGGAGAAAATAATTCATTCTTAAGAAGAAAATCAACTGGCAATATTAAAGTATATCACGAGATATACTTATCATAAGAGGCATGAACTAACAGGAAAAGAGATCCAGATTACACGTTTATGCCTCATGTATTGCCCTGGATCACCCATGTTACGTAGTTTTAGTAACCATAATCTTATGTTAATATTGGTTCATATTTTCACAGTATTTCACTTAGAGTCTCTCAGAGGATTTTCTAATATGTGAGTGGCTTTAATTAAGTGCTTTACTGCCTCTGTGAAATTGGAAGATTCTTCATATTCATTAATGTGTAGGGAGTAGTGGCACTTGATGGGGATTATTATGGGACTTAGAAATAAATGGCATATTAGATTGATTTCAGCCACTCTACTCACATGGGTCAATAGTGAATTTTAATTTTGCCTATGAATAGTATTTCATTGATTCTATTACTGGTATTTTCGTGTTATAATATCTCTGAAATTAAGATGTATTGCAGTTAAAATTGGGAAAAAACTGTTTAGTGATTCATAACATAAAGGTGTAATGATGTCTTAGATTCTTTGAAATGTAGTAGGTTTTATGCTACCATCCCTGCAAAATAGATGTGAGTTTGAACAGAAGCAATAAAAATCAACATGAGATTAGAAAACTCTCACTAGCTGTGGGGTATAGAACCCTGAGAACTTTATAGCACTGTTCTTTGATTTGTTGGCATGGTAACCTACAAGATTTTTCATCATAAATTTTCTTTTGATTTCAGAGAATGGTTCTTTCTTTTGTCACATGAAGTGTTGAACCCAATGTATTGCCTGTTTGAATATGCAGGGAAAGATAACTACTGCTTGCAGATAAACCCTGCTTCTTACATCAATCCAGATCACCTGAAATATTTTCGTTTTATTGGCAGGTTTATTGCCATGGTAAGTGCAGGTCAAGAATTATGTTTACTTTGCTTATTCAGCAATACTAAATTTTCTCGTAGGTGCCATAACAGATCATTCAAGTTAAAGGGAAGTGTTTTTTGGTTTTGTTTTATTTTTTGTTTTTGAGTCATAGTCTTGCTTTGTTGCCCAGGCTCGAGTGCAGTGTCACAATCTCCACTCACTGTAACCCCTGCCTCCTTGGCTAACCTCCTGAGTAGCTGGGATTACAGGTGTGCAACACATGCCTGGCTGATTTTTGTATTTTTAGTAGAGACAGAGTTTCACCATTTTGGCCAGGCTGGTGTTGACCTCTGATCTCAGGTGATCCACTGCCTCAGCCTTCCAAAGTGCTGGGATTACAGGTGTGAGCCACTGTGCCCCACCAGGGAAGCATTTCTAAATAAAAATTCATCTAACATATTGAAATAAAATGATTATTGTACAATTATTGTAAGTGCTCTTGTTTCCTTTTTTCATAGGCTCTGTTCCATGGGAAATTCATAGACACAGGTTTTTCTTTACCATTCTATAAGCGTATCTTGAACAAACCAGTTGGACTCAAGGATTTAGAATCTATTGATCCAGAATTTTACAATTCTCTCATCTGGGTTAAGTAAGTTTCTTTTTCCATGTAATTTATTAAAATATAGTTTATATGTGTTCCATGTGGTATTGGCAACTTACTTAAACTGTAAGCACATAATTGGTTTATTGCATTTAAATGATCTATACTATATATCAAACCTGTGTTTTTATTCAATATGATAAATTTTACAAAAATATACCCTAAATCTTTGGCAATAATATGTTGACCTTAGAATAGAATCTTCCATTTTCTTCTCATTTTAACATTACAGCTTAATATTAATATTATTAATTATTTAAGAACATGAGCCTTTAGTTAAAAACTTATAAATTATGATTGAATTGGTGGATATAACACATAGTTCTAATTTCATTTGTGCAGAGAAAACAATATTGAGGAATGTGGTCTGGAAATGTACTTCTCTGTTGACAAAGAAATTCTGGGTGAAATTAAGAGTCATGATCTGAAACCTAATGGTGGCAATATTCTTGTAACAGAAGAAAATAAAGAGGAATACATCAGGTGAGAGTGCTCCTTTTTACATTTCACTTTTTGTTGAACTACAGCACATTAATAATTGCTTACTAATATCTACAAAAATAATATTTATCTCTCTACTAATCATTATCCTATGTAGGCAGTCATTTTTCATTTCTAAAAAGAGTCTTTTAAAGTGTTTTTAAAAGAGTTTTAAGGATAAAAGTCATGCAGGGTCACTCTTGTAAACATCAGTTCTGTAAGCACTATACTGTATAACAAGTCATTTAAAATAATCTCAAATATATATTCAGATATTTTCACAGCGAATATTGTAAGGTATATTAGTCCGCTTTCATGCTGCTGATAAAGACATACCCAAGACTGGGCAATTTACGAAAGAAACATGTTTAATGGACTTACAGTTCCACATGTCAGGCCTCACAATCATGGCGGGAGGCAAGGAGGGGCAAGTCACATCTTACATGGATGGCAGCAGGCAAAGAGAGAGCTTGTGCAGGGAAACTCCTGTTTTTAAAACATCATCATTGGATGGGCATGGTAATTTACACCTGTAATCCCAGCACTTTGGGAGGCTGAGGCAGGGGGATCACGAGGTCTGGAGATCGAGACCATCCTGGCCAACATGGTGAAACCCCATCTCTACTAAAAATATGAAAATTAGCTGGGTGTGGTTGTGCATGTCTATAATCCCAGCTACTCGGGAGACTGAGGCAGGAGAATTGCTTGAACCTGGGAGGCAGAGATTGCAGTGAGCTGAGATTGCGCCAGTGCACTCCAGCCTGGTGACAAAGCAAGACTCCATTCCAAAAAAAAAAAAAACAAACAAACAAAAAAAAAAAAACAGCAAAAAACACCTCATCATGAGATCTTGTGTGAGACTTACTATCACGAGAACAGCATGGGAAAAACCCACCCCCATGATTCAGTTATTTCCCACTGGGTCTCTCTCACACACATGGGAATGATTAGAGCTACAAGATGAGTTGTACTTTGTCCTAGCAGAGGTTCTCCATGAGGGCCCCACCCCTAGAGCAGAATTTTGCTTGAGCATCCAAGCATTTCTATACATTTTCTGAAATCTAAGCAGAGATTCCCAAACCTCAGTTCTTGCCTTCTGTGCACCTGGAGGCTCAACACCATGTGGAATCTGCCAGGGCTTGAGTCTTCCACTCTCTGAAGCAACAGCCTGAGCAGTACCTTGTCCCCTATTAGTCATGCTGGAGCAGCTGGGACGTAGGGCACCAAGTCCCTAGACTGCACACAGCATGGGGACCCTGGGCGGAGCCCAGGAAACCATTTTTTACTCCTAGGCCTATGGGCCTGTGATGGGAGGTGCTTCCATGAAGACCTCAAACATGCCCTGGAGACATTTTCCCCATTGTCTTGGGGATTAACATTTGGCTCCTCATTACTTATGCAAATTTCTATAGCCAGCTTGAATTTCTCCTCAGAAAATGAGATTTTCTTGGCATTGTCAGACTGCAAATTTTTCTGAACTTTTATGCTGTTTCCCTTACAAAACTGAATGCCTTTAACAGCACCCAAGTCTCCTTTTGAATGCTTTACTACTTAGAAATTTGTTCTGTCAGATACCATAAATCATCTCTCTTAAGTACAAAGTTCCACCAGTCTCTAGGGCAGGAGCAAAATGCCTCAGTCTCTTTGCTAAAACATAACAAGAGTCACCTTTGCTTCATTTCCCAAAAAGTTTCTTATTTCCATCTGAGACCACCTCAGCCTGGACTTTTATTGTCCATATTGCTATCAGCATTTTGGCCAAAGCCATTCAGCAAGACTCTAGAAGTTCCAAACTTTCCCACATTTTCCTGTCTTATTCTGAGCCCTTCAAACTGTTCCAACGTCTGCCTGTTACCCAGTTTAAGGTTGCTTCCACATTTTCAGCATCTTCAGCATCACCCCACTCCTGGTAACAATTTACTGTTTTCACGCTGCTGATAAAACAAAGAGGAGCAAGTCATATCTTACATGAATGGCAGCAGGCAAAGAGAGATCTTGTGTAGGGAAACGTCCATTTTAAAACCATGAGATCTTGTGAGATTTATACTGAGAACAACATGGGAAAGACCCACCCCCATGATTCAGTTATCTCCGACTGGCTCTTCCCTACAACACATGGGAATTATGGGAGCTAAAAGATGAGATTTGGGTGGGGACACAGCAAATCTATATCATATGGTTGGGTAAAATTTATAACTAAAATGATGTTTTCTAATTCTAATTCTCTCTATTGGTTCATACTTCTAGTCTCAAGAGCTAATAGTTCATTCATACCTTCTCAACAGCAATTATTTCTAATCAGAGTTAAAGTTAGCATATCTGCTTCTTCAGTTCTAGTTTCTGGGTTTCTTACCTGGATTTTCCCTCCATAATTGAAAGTATACTATTTAACACAGTGAATAGTCATTATTTATTGGTAAACATTCTATCCTTTTAAAAGTTTGTTTTGAAATGTCCTTTTAAAATGTAATCAGTTAATTTGTTTTTGTCAGTTTTCCAGTTTTGTTATAATATGTCTAGATTTTCCTATGACATATATAATATTCCATAGAGGTAATGATTGAAGATTCCAGGTAACCAAGAGATGTACTAATAATACATGTTCCTCAATAGTTTCATTGTTGGCAATATAACATTTTAAGATAATGGGCAGCTAAAAAGGTTTTGACTATCTACTTCAATAATGGTTTGCTTAAAATTTCAGAGTTTGGGTTTTTTTTTAGTA